CGGCTGTTAACCGAAAGGGTGGGGGCTCGACCCCACCCAGGGACGCTTTACGTTTTTCGGCGGGATTGTCTTGCACGTTAAAAATTGAAACAGAATAGATGTCGGAAGCACAAATGTCTCTGTGGCACAATCGGTTCGCGCGTTCGGCTGTTAACCGAAAGGGTGGGGGCTCGACCCCACCCAGGGACGCTTTACGTTTTTCGGCGGGATTGTCTTGCACGTTAAAAATTGAAACAGAATAGATGTCGGAAGCACAAATGTCTCTGTGGCACAATCGGTTCGCGCGTTCGGCTGTTAACCGAAAGGGTGGGGGCTCGACCCCACCCAGGGACGCTTTACGTTTTTCGGCGGGATTGTCTTGCACATTAAAAATCGAAACTGAATATATGTCGGAAGAACAAATGTCTCTGTGGCGCAATCGGGTAGCGCGTTCGGCTGTTAACCGAAAGGTTGGTGGTTCGACCCCACCCAGGGACGCTTAACGTTTGGTCTTTAGGCGGGATTGTCTTGCACGTTAAAAGTCGAAACTGAATATATGTCGGAAGAACAAATGTCGCTGTGGCGCAATCGGTTAGCGCGTTCGGCTGTTAACCGAAAAGTTGGTGGTTCGAGCCCACCCAGGGACGTTTAACGTTTGCTCGTTTTTGGCGGGATTGTCTTGCACGTTAAAAAATTGGAACTGCATATATCCTTAGAACTGTCACAGTTCCTTTGAGCAAGACACTGAACGGACAGCTGTCGAACGAATTCATACTTCCTGATGTTGAGGAAGCCGGCCTTCTGGATAAGCGCGCGATTGATGGGCTCGGCGTCCTTGTCCAGCATGTAGACCGAGTCATCCACGGACAGGAGTTCCTTCTGCGACACACGCATGGCCTCGGCTTCCGCATCCATTTGAACCTGGATGCTAAGCAGAAACACACGTTTCAGAGTCCAACTCAAATTGGCAACTTGAGCGACGATGATGATGATGATGCGTCTCTACTTTTGCGTCACGTTAGACACAGAGGAGAGAAAGTTGTCCAGCTTCTTTGACACCAACTCAAGGCCTTTCTTGAAAAAAAGGACCTAGGAAAGGGCAGAGAAACAGATTCATTTTCTTCACGTTATACTCAAAACATTGTTTCTGGTGCTACGCTAGCAACAAAACGGGAGGTCAGGACAACGCGCAGAGAAACTATGACACGTCATCCATGCTTTTGTACCTGTGCTTGCGTGTAGCCTAGCATGGGTTCCAACATGGCCACCCTCTTGCGGTACTGCAGGGCATTGAGGGCGCAGTAATACTGCAGCGAGGCCTGGTGCTGCTTCCTGCGAGTGTACGCCACCTCTTTCACCAAGTCGGCCTTCAGCTGTTCACCCGGGGGGATTTATTGCCTTTATTTGGCTTGCAAATGAAAGCACTGCAGGTCCATGAGAGATGACTCGAGGCAGGGAAAAAAAAACTGTACCTTTTCATTGCCTTTATTTGGCTTGCAAATGAAAGCACTGCAGGTCCATGAGAGATGACTCGTGGGAGGGGAAAAAAAAACTGTACCTTTTCGTTCTCCCTCTTTTTGGGTAAGCGGCTGTACTTGACCATGGCTGCCTCGTGCTCTGCATGAGAAGAACATACAGGTCGATATCAAAGAAGCGTAGATGGGAGATGAACGACCAGGTCCTCATTTTTGGATGGGATTTGTGGACTTGCCATCGGTGGCGATGCCATATATTTCCTTCAGCGTGCTGATCTCTGCAAAAATAAAGAAACGACCCAAAGTCACCTCACTACGTGCACGTGGTAGGAAGCAATACTGAAGGTGGTGAAACTGAATGTTACTTTAATGTGATGTGTTCATGGACAGCGGTTTATTCAAAGCCCCTGATTCAATTGAAGTTGGGGTGTTGTGTTCACATAAATTAAAAACAGAAAACAACGATTTGCAAATCATCGTCAACCTCGATTTGAATACTTAAGTTTCAAATTCTTTTGAGCAAATAAGCTTCAGCTGCTCAGCGTTCCGTTGGCCTGATGATCCAGCGGTTAGCGTGTCGGCCTCACAGTGCAGAGGTTCTGGGTTCAATTCCAGCTCTGGCCTCCATGTGTGGAGTTTGCATGCTTCCGAATGTTGTTGATAAATGGCTTTTGCTTAGTCGAGTTTGAAGGTGCACTTCCGGATGTAGCGCCAGACTGTATTTACTGACATTGGTTTTCTGAAGTGTTTTTGAGCCCATGTGATGATATCCTCTGCACATTGATGTTGGTTTTTGATGTAGTGCCGCAATGAGGGATCAAAGGTCACGGCTATTCAATGTTGGTATTCGGCCTTGCCGCTTACATGCAGTGACTTCTCCGGATTCTCTGAACCTTTGTTATGATATTATGAACTGTAAAACCATAAAATCCTAAGTCAATGATTATTTGCTGAAAACAATAGCGTCTTTGTAGTGTATTCAATTAAATACACGTGAAGGTGATTTGCAAATCATTGTATTGTTTTTTTTCATGTTAAACACAACCTCCAAACTTCTTTGGGATTTGGTTTGTGCAAAATGGTAAACACACGACACGGACAAAAGCATTGGAGAGCTGATCATTTCCTTCGGGAGTGAAAAAAGGAGGGACAGATGAGTAGGTTTCTGCATTTGGGAGTGCGTCTGTGGAGAACTTGCTCCTTAATTCTCCAAAATGTCTTGCTTGGATGAAAAATAAGATGAAATGATTGACAGCTGTGTCCCAAGAATTTGTCCATGTGGTGTTTCATACAAACTAGCATTTATGAGTGTGTGTGTGTGTGTGTGTGTGTGTGTGTGTGTGTGTCTCTCTACCCGTAAGGTCTTTTTCTCTGAACTGGATCAAAGGGAAGACCATGGTGTCCGCCATCTGGTTGGCAAGCTCCAAGTGCAGCGAGTTCAGCTGGATGACACCGAACACATTGTGCAGAAAAATATGTGAAGGACATGAATGCACGCACATGGGTAAACACGACAAGAGAACATCGAGGCCAAACATCTTGAGGGAGTCCATTCCGCATTAATTGCTTACGGGGGAATATTTGGCATCACAACAACAACTTGCCAGACGTTGACCACACTGCATAGAGCACAACGATCATTTTCGCGCTGCCATTAATCATCTCCGCTTATCTCAAAGCAGGCACTCCTATCGAAGGATCAAGGGCTAAAGTTCACCAGATTAGCCACATCGGCGGCGCTAATTCCTGCTTGGAAATGACCCTGTGCGTGATGTGTTAGCATGATCTATATGTGCGTGTTTATAGCTTATAAGAAGACATCAATTCAGACCCATCTTGTCTGCTGCCTAAATGGCTGTTCCGGAGACAGAAATAAAACTAGATGAGAGTCAGTTTTGATGGCCATCTCGATTGGGACTCGGACGTGAACTCGTTTAGCGCTGAGCCTGATTCACCCATAATGTTTTTCCTTTGATTTAAGTAACATACAGTGATTAAAAGTTGAACCGATAATAATAATGTTAAATAATTATTTTACTCTGGTCTCACCTCCTCCACCGTTTTGGCAAACTTCTGCAGCGTGGAGACGACTTCTTCATCACCTTTGCCAAGGGCAAAATTCTAAAAGGGGGGAAATAAAGAATGAACAGAAGTGGTATAATTTACAGTTTGATACATCTGCATTTATAACATTCAATTCAACCGCTGGATTCAGCGTCCACTCTGGTGTTCTTACTTTCTTTTCGTAGTCAAGAAGTTGCCGTGAGAGCTGCTCCGTGGCCAAACCCATTTCACTCTTTTTAAGAAGACAAAGACAAAACGATGTTTTCTTACAACTGCCTTTCAAAGATAACCAATGTAAAGCGTTGTTTGGCAGAATTCTTGATCCAGTTCTTACATTGGATCTGACAAGATTAGGTGCATCGAATGTGAGGGAATGTCGATACCTGAGCGCCGAAGACGCGCTGCATGGACTGGAGCAGCTGGTTGGTGTAGTCCGTGAGGTTCGCTGCATCCTCCTCAAAGACGCTGAGCAAGGAACGAGTCTATGGTGGGGAAGTGGGAGTGGGGGCGGGGTGGTGATACTTTCAAGTTAACTGCACGTGGACATCTCATTAGATACACCTTGTTTTATTCATGTTTGATTGTAGCTGATGTTAGGAATGCACTGGAACACTTGGACCCTCCCGTTAGCGTAACGTAATCCCAAATTTAGAACCAGCACTCAGGACAACACTGCAAATGACAACCACAATTAGAATCAGCCATTTTACGCAGCACCTGTCCTCATCAGGATCAAGGATGAGGACAAGTGCTATAGATAATGGAAGGATGGACAGATGGTTTTGGAAAAGTGAGAGGGCAAATGCAATGTGACAGGGGGCTCTCATTGCCCAGAACGGTGACTTTCCTGCAGGCGCTCAATGAAAATCCGACAGACTGTCACTGTGCTTAAACGGGTATGAGCAGGCAGCATAACAAAGACAAACACACCCATGGGTGAGCGTCTGTTTACATGACTAAGCAAGCAGATCGAGCAAACCTACATACGAACTATACACAAGGCGTGTCAGAAAGGTTCCAGGACTGGCTTGGACAGCTCCGTTCTTTCATCCAGCCCACCAAACATTCTCAAGCGTCCTGCAATATTTGTTGCATGAATTGACGGCTTGACATTTTAACTTCATCTCCCAGAATAACAAGGCCTGACTTGGTGTTTGTTTTAGTTTCTACTCTTGCACAACAACACTCAAAGTGTAGGAGACAGGAGCCTCCGGTATGAGTTGCACTTAAGAAAACCATAGGGTGCAACCCTCTGTCGGAGTAAAGCATTACATGTACGTCAAAATAATTACAAGCACCACAGTGGGCGACATGCAGCATGTGAGGCCTAGGCTACAATTACCACAGGGATGTTGTAACTTTTTATCAGCCAAACAAATGACACTCCATTTTTTTATAACCAGTGACAGCACCCTTATGAGGTCTATTGCTGACCGGTCGAGACCAACAATCGAAACAATTGCGACCCCAGAAGAAGCAAATTCAATCTAGTTGGGCATCACTGAGACCATTACAATGTAGCAATAACAACGCTGTTATGGATGAGCTATTATTACCCGTGTGCGTTACGTGAGATGCGTACGTTAGCCCTCAACCAACCAACAGGCACCCTGTATGACACCCAACACATTTGCGAAGCCAAATGCACAAGGAAACGTCATTTTTACAAACGAAGGGGTGTTCAGGGTGTGTTTTATTTTGCAAGTATACCGGTGTAACCACTGGGTGCTGTCATTAGGTCGTGGGGCGACAGACTACAAAACAGGAGCAGCCCATGCTAGTTAGCTAATAGCATCCATTATTTTTTGGTCATGTTGTGGCGTAGGTTTGAGGAAACGCTGATAAAACAAACATTGGCTTACCTGAGGACTGTCCTGCAAAGCGTCCTCCAGGAGTAGCTTGTGGTGTACGGCCGGCATCTTGCGAGTGGTGGCGAAATAACGAATAATGAGGGGCTTGAATTACGAAGCACGTTGGACTCGATTTCCCAGAGTTCTTTGCTCGGGTGAAACGGAAAAAGGTGCGTTTGGAGGAGGCTCGAAAACGTTCGATCATTTCATTCACAACCAGAGAACGAAGTGAAACGGAAATTGTATTTATAATTTATCACAAATTATGCATACGGGTTTATGTCTGATTTGTTTCCAGAAAGAAAGTGAGTTTTATTGGAACAATTCTTGATTTAACAATTTGTTAAAAATCTACATAGACACACGTAGTAGAAAAACACAACCTATCAACCAATAAGTAAATAAATAAAATGTCAGGGCTCTTACAAAAAAGATATTAAACTGATTACATGAATAAAAAATTAAAATGCGAACACAATTTCAAATTTTTTTTTTAGAGATTTCTTGTTACTAGCATCAGCTATGGACAGTCATAAATAAGAAAGGGAGAAAGTAGGAAAGAAAGAAAGAAAGAAAGAAAGAAAGTTAGACACGAGTCCAAATTGTGGCCGTGTCGTGCTGGTTGTGGATCCGAATTTACTGGAAAATTGTAAACAGCGGCCTCTGGTGGCATTAAGATGAATGGCAACATATATTTTTCATTCACAAAAGATTGACTGTATGCCGACAGCTCCAAAATAAAGCAAACGCTGTTGTTTGAGGAACATCTTTTCAAAGTGTGGTACAAGTACCAACGGTGGAAAGCGGCATCCCTCTAGTTCAGGGCGACAGTACGCGAACACATTGCAGCAGTTCAGCTCATGTTTAGTGAACTTTTAATTTAGCACGTTTGCATTTAATCTTTAATCACGGTTTGTTTTAAAACCATTTACGTCAGCAGAATTCTTATTCCAATTTGATGTGCAATACAGCATTTTTTTTTTTTTTGCGATATTTAAGCGTAATGCTAATGTTCAAACCGCATGTGACAGTGGTTTACTGTGGCTAACACTAATATTAAATTCACTTTTCAGGAATAAAACCGCTCTCTCCTTTTTCATTAACACCTAGGCCTTGAAAAATGTACTTAGTATTCGGTTGTATATTATTAAATTGTGGTAAACTGACATAATTTCCCCTCTGCTTTTCCTAAAAAAAAATCATCAATGTTTGATCATTCGTGTTGTACATCGGGAGCTACATATTTTTTGGCTAGTACACTTGGTGTCTGACATAATTTCCCCTCTGCTTTTCCTAAAAAAAATCATCAATGTTTGATCACTCGTGTTGTACATCGGGAGCTACGTATTTTTTGGCTGGTACGGGGGTCGGGTACAGCCAGGTGTAAAAAAGTTTGAGAATCACTGCATTAGATGTTAGCTCGGAGGTACAAAGTGATGTATAAGGGTCTTTAACTGCTAACAGAAGCACAGTGTTTCAAAATTTCTTGCAAACCAGCATTCTTTGCATGATCCGAAACATTTCGGGCCGCAATTGTGACTTCGATGTAGTTACAACGCAATTGCTGCAGGGTAGCCGTTGACAAAGAAGACAAGTCTCGACAAGCAGCACAAACACAGCCTGGGCTGGAACGCCCACCGTTCCTTCTTCCATCCCCAACGGATGGCTTGGCGCGTTAATTGGTTACGTGGTGGTTCCGAATCAGATGACTGTGATGATTAGGTATTTGCTGGCGTGGCCACAAAAAAAAAAAAAAAAAAAAAAAAAAAGATGTGCTTACCACTGATAAAAAAATAAAAGCTCATTTCAAGCAAAGCATCGATTCATCCAAGCACAGGACACCAATTGTATGTCATTTGGAGCACCTGATTTTTAGTCTTCAGTGTCAATTGAAAACAATACTTTCGGATTGTGGCACAAGAGAGTCGAATGAGGCTAGAACACGACAGATTTTAAAGGAGATAAACAGTATTAGAGGTATGTGGAATTGGCTTTTTCACTGCTTATAAGTTTCTAGTTTGTCTATCGTGATGCCAATGATGGAAAAAGAAGTTGCTGTCACAACAAAGGCAGAAACGTTGAAAGAATGCGTGTCCTGTAACAAACCAGCAAATTGTTGTTTTGTTGTGTTTCACAGTTGTAGCCCACAAAAAAATAAATGAGTTGTGTGTGTGTGTGTGTGTGTGTGTGTGTTTTCTTTTTAGAATGTGCCAAGAGCCAACTTTTTGTCGCGGCTCGACACTCTCGGCCTTGATGTGCGTGGATATGCGTACGAGTCATTTTCAAGGACAAAAAAAAAAAACAAAACGTATGTATGGGTGTGTGGAGTTTGAACAGAAAATGGAGGCGCTCCATTGGTTACTTCAACGCACTCACTCCTCTCCTGGTTTCCAGGGCAACCATGTCAGGGTGTAACAGACGAGCAAATCACATTAAGGCAAAGCATCTTTCTCTCTTCCCTCTCGCCACACACACACACACTCCCCAGCCCAGCATGGATATAAAAGCCCATCGCTCTGTGCTTCCTGGCGTACTCTCAGTGTAACCGTGGGAGACGCTTCCTTGACCTTCCTTCTCCTCCTCTCCTGATGTGTTGCTCATTCTTCACCCCCTCGTCGTCGTCAGCGGGCGTCTGACGCTCACGTTTGGACGACGGCCGCGTTCATGATTAAAAAAACAAAACAAAAACAAATGGGTTGTGGCAATTCGTCGGCCGCCAGCACCTCAGGAGGGGGTGAGTGTTTCTGTTTTTATTTTTAGGGGGATTGGGGGGGGGGGCGGGCAGGGGAAGAGTTATCTGTGTGTCTGCACCAAAGCTGGAAGGTGATTAGAATGTAAATGAAATGCGGAGTCACTGATGAATGAATGGAAAGCATTTGCATGCCGAATGTGCCCACTTTGACTTTCTAGTGATCCCAATTCTGGAGTGAAATTGCGCATTGATTGCTTCTGCCTGTGCGCTTGAAGAATATCCGATTGGAGATCAGCTTTCATTCAAAAAAAGATTGTGTTGACAGTTGCCCCCCCCCCCCACACACACACACACACTCAATCACACGTATTTATCGGCCGTATTTATTCGCATCAACCTCTTCATCCATACATTAATGCTTTCGTCGCTGGGCCCTGAATCTTATCGAGACATATGGATCCAACTTTGCGGGGGCCAGTTTAGAGAAGGCTCCCCATCTATTTTATAGTCCATAATAAGACATGCTTGGTGGAGTTTGCTGTGGAAGAATGTCAGCGATTGGGCCGAGCCTGTGTTTTTTTCCCTCTTTGTGTAATGGGAAGCTGTCCCAATACTTTTGCCCATATCACCAAGGGTGTTTTATGTACGCTGATTACTATGCTGAACAATGCGTTAGATACAGAAAAAAAAAGCCACGTTTTCACGTCCCACAGAATGATTTTGAAGTTTTGTGACGGAGCGTAAGGCGCCGATGAACGCAACAGTGACCACAAAAACGCAAACTTTTATTTACGTGTTCGACTGAAATGAACCTGCACCCGATAAAGAGCTGATAAATTGGAATTTTGAGGGCTTTCCCGTCCTTTAAAACCTTGCTGCCTTGGCAGGCATGTTCCTCCGGGACATTTCGATTATTGGACGAAATGTTAACAATTTTCAGCAGGAACGTGAGTTGCTTGCGGGTTTTTTTCGATACTCACGGTAGATTACTGTAATTGCAGCCATTTTCAGCGGTTTCTCAAAGCACACGCTTGCCTTTGAGATTTTTTTTTCTAATTGCTCCAAAATATTAACTCCAGATTGGCTAATTCGCCCCCCCCCCAAAAAAAATTGCATTATCATCCAATTGTGTGCGTGAATCCTGGCAGCATCGTTTCATGATTCGCCATAAAACACAGAAACACGATGAACCCTTTCGGGGACAGCGGTTACTACATGTATACTTGTGGCTTTTCTCCGGGTACTCCGGTTTCCTCCCAATTTCCAAAAACATGCATGGCAGGCTGATTGAACATTCAAGATTGTCCCTAGGTGCGAGTGTGAGCGTGGATGTCTTGTTCGTCTCTGTGTGCCCTCCGATTGGCTGGCAACCGGTTCAGGGTGTCCCCCGCCTACTGCCCGAAGATGGCTGAGATAGGCTCCGGCAACCCCCCGCGACCCTTGTGAGGATAAAGCGGATCAGAAAATTAAAAACAGCAACAAGATAAACAGTAAAAGTATTGTCCTGAAAAGTTAAATATAACTGAGTGGCACTTTGGCAGCGATTCTTTTCGTAACACACTTTTGAGAGTCACGGACGGACTGTAAATTTTGCCTTCCGGGAATGCTGCTGTTGATTTGACTTTTGTGCGTCAAGAACCACGCTCGAAGGTACAAAATGATACGGAGGTTTGTTCACCAAAGGAAGGGTGCTGAATTGGAGAGGAGTTGAAACCCTTGGCCTACTGCGTGGCCAGAGTCAAAGTCAGACCCTTTCTTTTGTCATTGCAGCAACGTGCTCAGCACGCTCGCGATGATCCCACGTTAGTGGTTTTCCAGCGAACTCATCAAATCGTGCATCATTTCAGGAAGCGCGGCGGCTGAGTCACGCACGTCCATTTTTTTTTTTTTCAATTTCAAGCTTCCGTCTTCGCGGACTCAAATGACCACCCGGGCGCACGCTGCACTGCTCGGCTTTGCCCTTATTTACACAGATGCAATTCCTGAGATATGAAAGAGCTTTTGTTTGGCTTCTCAATGGGCCCCTGTGTCATGTCAGCAGACTTCGTTTTTGACAGCTCCAAGGGAAATTCACTGTTTTCACACGCAAATACTTTCCTTGAAGAGATTCATTTCTTGCTGGGGATTTTCTTCCCCTTATGGATTGTATGTTGTGTTGTTCAAAGTAACCATTAAGGATGTCTATCAGCTCTTATCTTGAATTTAAATGGCTTGTAAAATATCAATGGGGGATAACCCGGAGTTTTGCGTCATAGAGTCTTAAATTGCCCTTACGGAAGCGGTGCCAAACCGTGTTTACCGACGTTGTTTTTCTGAAGCCTGAGGGTCCGACGGACAAGGGCGCTCAATGTTGTTTTTTCGACCTTGTCGCTTACATGCGGTGAATTCTTCAGATGGTCTGAACCTATTATGGACCATAGATGATGAAATCCCGAAATTCCTTGTAATCGTACATTGAGGAACATTCTTCTTAAGCTGTCTATTTCCACACGCAGTTGTTCACGAAGAGGTGAACCTCGCTCTATTTTTGCTTGGGATAGACCAGAGGTGTCAAACTCCTTTTTGTAGTAGGTCACATTGTGAATTTTTGTGAAACTGTATAAATATTTAATCCCCCTCCACATATTACATTGACAGTGCACAACAAATTGGTGGATACCTACTTTTGAAATCAGAAGTCAGGAATCATGGTTAGGTCAGCCATTGTTTACGTTAATGTAATGAGTACGTCATGATATCTGTAGGAGACTGGACTGTCTCAGAATTATTTATGTTTTTATTCCTTTGTTGTGTGTGCACTTCGTCGAGAGAGACTCGCCTGTATTTGTTGAGACTGGTAAAAGCATTAAGTGTACGTTTAAAAAAAAAAAACAACAACAACAACAACGCTGCAGCTCTCCTTTTTTCGGAGAAATTTTAAAATTATGATTATTAGCTAACAATAATAGCTGAAGCTTATTTGCTCAAAAACAAGACGTTTTTTTATCCGTTTGTACATTAAACATTTTGTCTTCATGGTGTATTCAATTAGATACAAGCCGAAGGTGATTTTTCAGTTCTCATAGGAGGAAAAAAAGAAAAAAGTATTTTCAACTTGTTTACTGCTCGTGTATGGCGTAATCAAGATGTCCGGCCGGCCCAGCACACTGCTTACTCGTCGCTTCCAAATTGGCAATCGTTCGTTTCAAGCCACAATCACAAAGTGGGTGGCTCAGGTCATTGTTGATCAGGATTTGCGTGGATGTAAATATTGAGCAAGTTGAATATTGATCATAATTTAGGCATAATCCTGGAGAGAGATTGCAAACTCTTTGAAGTAGAGGGAATTTTACATTGCCTTGAAAGCCCCCCCCCCCCCACATTGTACACAACATCGTGCCACAATTGTAGCCTTTGTGCTACAAATCAAGTCTGATGTGGAACTGGTGGTGCAACGAATCAGGAGATTTATTCCAAAGTCAACAAGTCCCTGGGGGTGGCTCTGCCTCCTCCAAATGTTTCTGAATCAACTCCAAGCGAGGCTTCCTGTAAACATTTAAGAGCTGTTTCATCATTTATTTTTTATTTTTATGATAGCTAACATCGTCGAAACCCATGTGAGGCTTTTTCACAGCTCACCTCATTCTCGGATGGTCTCCTTAATCTTTTTGTCATACCACGAGGACCCTGGAACGTATCACAACTGATTATTAAATTAGTTTTATTTCATTTCCTGAACGTGAACATTTAATTTCTTAGGCATTGTCTTTTCCCTTCTGTGAGCCGTCGTCACCTTATCATGATGGAGAAGGTTTGTGTGTCCTCAAAATCCTGCTACCTGGGGCTTTATGCCTCTGGCAGTGTCACCCAAGGTGAGGGACCGGACAAAAGACGGCTCAAAAGACCCTCTAAGGCGGATAAAAATATTGGATTCTGTTTTTCCTTACTGGGACATGGTTCACTGACAAATGCATGCCACAAGGGTTAAAACCCATGCATGGCATGCATTTTTTTTTTTTTGCAACACAACGCATGTCAGGTGTACATGATGTTCGACTGTCGGTGGTGTTTTGCATTGTGTTAGCCTCAAACTAGCCATCCATCCATTATTTGAACCGCTTACTTATCCTGTACAGGGTCGCGGGGGGAGAGGAGGTGGGGAATCCAACTAGCTTCAGCCAACCTTGTGATGTTGTTTCAAATATGTAACGTTTAAATCTCTTTGTTTTATGTTTAGTTTGACAGTCAAATTCAACTGGGAATAACAATAAACAATTCGTGTCTTCAAATTTCCTACTCACAAAGCAAAGCCAAAAAAGCAACAACAACAAAAAAAAAAATCACGTCATTCCAATCTCAAGACCCCAAGATACCGTCCTGTCAAATAACGGTGCTTTTAAAACCACTCTTCCAGTATGTTATGAAATACCTTAACGGTGTCCTTAAGCAAACACTGTGAGATGAATGGTTTGTGAGGAGCACTTCAATACTTTGGATGAACATTAGATTAAGTGTTTCTTCTCCTCCCTCACTTTCAGGGCCATCCGAAGCCTCCAGGGATGTGTGAGTACATCGATCATCACGCCTTTCTCTTTGGCAAAGCTCATTGGAAAATAATCATAATATTTGTCACATCACCAACTTTAATCGCCGTCACTTTAGATCATTAACCCTCACCCGTAAATTTATTGGCTAATCACTTATAGTCACATGCTCGCTTAATCATGGCGACCAAATGACCAATGAAATTAAATTAAGGATATGTGAGCATGAAAGCAAATTCCCTCTCATATCTTACTGAGGGCAGCCAGTCATCGGAAGTGCTGATCAAAGCCTGGGGAGGGGCTTGGTGTTTCTCGGAATCATTTTGTTGGGGTGTGTGTGTTCCTTAATCAACAGAACTGCACATGACTCCTGAGAGCTGACAGCAGCATGTTAAGACCGCACTACACAGCAAATTATCACTGCACACACACACACACACACACACACACACACATATTACATGAAACATGAGATTAAAGATAGTTCATCCCTGGTGTGAATTATTTGATGTCACTACATTGCAGTGAAAGTAAAATGAGGCAAGTACCGTCCAAGTTTTCCAGCCCCCAAGAGACAAAGGAGGAGCTGATTATAAATGAATAAATAAAGCCATAAATAAGACGCCCGCATAACAGGCCGCTAAATCCGATCATCAAACCTCTTTGTTGCCAAGGCCGTTGTAAATCTCACAAGTGCACTCGATCGTGTGGAGGGCGAGTCGAAGCTTTGAGCTGACATGTGCGCCTTCTCTCAATCAGGACAGAAGATCCCTTAGCAGACGATGAGAAAAGAAGGTACTTTTTTACTTTTAATGCAATTCATATTTTATTTAAATAGAATCATGAAGAATTTGAATTCTTGACACAATTATTTCATGAGATTATTTTTTTTAAACCTAAAAAAATTGCATACATTTGACTTAACCAATTAAAGTGGATAAAATGCTAAACTAATACAACATGACTCTCGATGATGTAAACACAAACTGACGACAATACTCACCTGCTTTCCACTCAGGAATTATGGCGGCGTGTACGTGGGTCTCCCGGCAGACTTGACCACGGTGGCCGCAAGTCAGTCCAAATCGAGCCGAAAAGGTACGAGTGGAAAAACTCTCACAGGACAAATGAGGACAACCAATAAAGAGACTTAACGTCTGTTAATGTACTAAGCCAATAGGCCTGCAGCATGTTTGCGTGCGTCTTAATATAGTCTTGACAATCATGTGTTTGTGTGTTAGCTTTTTTTATGACTACAATCAAAACACGAATGTGCTTTATTTCTGAAGCCTTACACTCGAACGAGAGTTCATGAAAACAAAACGTTCCCGGAAGTTGAAGGCAAAGGGTGACCAACTGACCGATTAAATTGAAGAGGCGCCACCGTGTGGCGTGATACAAGACTGTAATACTTGCTGATTTGTTTTCGTGCCCCGCGGCTCAACAGCAAGAATTAACACTGTTTTTTTTTGGTGTGGGTTTTTTTTTTTTTGTCTCGTGACTGATCATCTGTTTTCTTCCAGACTAGCAGTGTGAAGAGGATCCCACAGAGGTACATGCGGCATTTACACTCAAGTCAAAATCACTCGCAAAGGTTCCTGTAAGAGCACTGTGACCAGTAAGCTAACAACAAACGGGTTTATTTATTTATGTATTTATTTATTTATGGGCGGGGGGCGGATTTAGCGACTCAGGTCATCCATTATCAGATATGGTTCGAAATGTACTTGACAATCATTGTTGGCGTGCCATAAAAATATGGTTTCTCAACTCAATTTTATTTATAGAGCACTTTAAAACAACCATTGCTGCTATAGACGCTTGCCATACAAATGAATCGATGGCTGTCTTCTCACATCTTGTATCGCTTGTCTTGATAGGCACTCTGCATATTTACCCTGAGGTGCCCCCCTGTGGACGCCACCTTGGACGCATGGTGACGTCACTGCTGACTGACTGACGCGTCGGCCCTTTCAACCCGCTTGCTCGAGTCAAGATGCAGACATTTCACCGGGTCTCTGAAGATTCGTGGACTCGTCGCGGGAGTTAAGCTCTGGGGACACCATTAATGATAGATACATCCTTCAAATGTCAAAAGTTAGCCGTGGAAGTGGGCAAGCGCACTTCAGGGGACCTACAAGGCATCAGCGAGCACAGATCGTCATGACAGCCATCTCGGCGTGTCAGTCACAGTGATGAAATGTCGCTGGCCAATTAAGATGTTCTTTTTTCCTCATTAGCGCGCCGCAAATAACAATGACCGCTTTGGAGACTCAGTGTGCGCCTTGGACACAACGAGAATGTCAGAAAAACATCAGGAGGTCGTTCAAGCGACGCTCACGGGCCACAATAGGAGGTCCACCTCCACATATCTTTTGCCTTATTATTCAACCATTTAAGAAAAATGAATAACAAAAAAGTCAAATTAACAAAATCATTTCGAATGACAGTGAACCCCCGCATTGTCGCAGTTCAACACATTGATAAATCGATCGGGGATCACTGATCCCAACTTACTTGCTGAAAAACTCATATCTTTTGCCTTATTATTCAACCATTTAAGAAAAATAAATAACAACAAAAAAAGTCAAATTAACAAAATCATTTCGAGTGACGGTGAACCCCGCATTGTCGCAGTTCAACACATTTGTAAATCGATCGGGGACCACTGACCCCGAGTTGCTTGCTGAAAAACTCACTTCCGTGCAGATTTTGTGCTAAGGCAAGAGTGTACTGTAGCTTTTTACAGCTTGCGACCTTTTGAAACTGTTGAGTGGCGGGTCCCCTTCCAAAGCAAGAAATTAAGTCAACGCTCTGCTTCTGATAAGGCACCCAACAAAGACATCATTTCCAAAATGGCTGACAGGTAGAGGACAGGCTTGAAAAAAAAAAGAAAAATACACACACACACACACACATAAATGTTTACTATATATTATGTGTGTGAAGAGCTAAATCAAAGATGTTGTACATGACATTTGTGAATGTCCCTGTGATGTTTTACTCTACCTCTTACTATCTTGGTGAAAATTAGCCCACAAAAAAAAAAAAAAAAAAAGCACTGACCTTGTTATATGTTTCCGTACCGATGCAAGAAAACAATAATCTAGATGCTGAGAGCAGCGAGAAACACAAGAGAGGCACATTTGCGAGACACAGCAACACTTAATCATCTCTTCTAATTTTAGCTGTCATGCTCACAGGATCAAGATGTTTTTTTTTTTTCATTTGTAACAATAAACACAACAAAAGATTTCTGCCACTTAGTTGTCTCAACTTGAAACACTATGATACATTTCGCAAATTATCGGTATTCATCATGGTTGGGGTAACGGTTCAACCCCATTTGTAGTAATTTTTATCTATATGCTTATATAAATCTTGGTCTTAAAAAAAAAATGTTGCAACTATATTATCCCAAAAAATCGATGTTCTATATTGCTTTTTGTCATGATTGCTAGGGCATGGAACATGAGTAGAATAGCTGGGAAAAATGACACTGACCACTGGAATAGACTGTTGGGAGTAAAATATAATTTCGAGGGACACGTATAAGAATTTAGGTTGTCAATGTAGGTCAGTGCTTCTGAGTGTACAGGCCAGCCAACGAGGCCCTGCTGCCTTTGAACGCCCACAACTGCAGTCAAAATATGAAACATTCAAAAATGGTATATTTTGTATGTATTATCCCCTAACACATGTTGAAAAACATATTCCACGCGAGGCAAGATCAAGATCATTCGTCACCCAGACTCATGACAGCTCGCCTCTAATTGAATGTACCGTCGATTACTCAGCAGGTGGAGGAGGAGGACGGCGGAATTAGGTCAACTTTAAACACTTGAGAATCAAGTCATTTCACCCCCCACACACACACACTCGCTCCACAAAGCTCAACCAATTGCTGAAAAATCAAGCACTGGCCAAGTCTTTGTCCTCTCGATCATCAGTTGAAAGTGATTTGCAATAACGCAATAACAAGACAGCTAGCAGACAGGCAAAGAAACCAAAACAAATTCGGCACGCTATGCTTTCTTTGCTCATGTTTGTGACGAGTTCAACCTCGGCAGTCTGCACTCGTCTTGAGTGCCATTCTAGTTTACCTGCTTTTGGCTGCTGTCTCTCCTGGTTCCGTCAAGTGTATCGTTTTGCCCTTTAAGATGGCTCATGCTGTCTCTGATGAATGTCACTGCCATTGGCCTGCACACAGGGGAGCACAATGTAGATGCGAGTCGCAGCCCAACGTCCTCAGAGTTTTTTATTTTTAGGACTAATTTGCATGCATAATGGCCTTGGAACATTGTGTTTGTATCACATTGTTTGGATTTTTTTTTTTTTTAATTCAAGAATTTGTGTTTTTTTTTTTGTGCAAGAGCCTGTTCTTACCTGTTACAGATTCAAATGAGATTTAAGACAAAAACTAACATGAATAAATAATTTTCAACAATATATTTTCCTCAAGTTAGCCATAGATTTTGCCTTCAATTCTACCAATTACAAAAAAAAAAAAAAATCCCCACCAAAAATGCGGCACATCCCAGCTGCTCTTTGTCCACCTCGAATCATCTCCTGCCATCGCGGTGTTTTTCTTGATTGAAAACCAATCAACGTTTTGAACCCAAGAGGAAGTGGTTGAATTTTGGATTCGGGACTGATGTTGAAATGTGGTCATCCAGTCAAAGGTCCGTTCTCTGGCTACAAAAACTGCAGATATAATTTTGTCCACCGAGGTCTGCCGTCGTTCTCTGGCTCCAAAATCTGCAGTTACAATTTTATCCACCGGGGGCTGCCGTAGTCCCAATCTGTGATCTCACGCTCGCTGTCTCCTCACCAGCAGGTGTCACTGCAGCACAAGCTAAAACTCAGTTGACCGTGTAGGATGCAGACGCACATCGATCTCTGATCCATGAAAAGTGAGAAGTGTGTCCTTCTCCTGCCCCCTGCAACATTATAAACGACTATTTAGGGATATGACGTGATAGACCGGTAAGAGTCCGCGAGTGGTGCTTCCCAGATTGGAGACTCTCTCTGATGTGCTGCACCGACTATGCAACAGGTTTGGTGTCAACCTCAAAACCAGGCAGGCCAGATGCGGTCCTCCTTTCCATTTAATGTGGCACACAAAAGGTTGTCAGAATTTTGTTGCTGACTTCTGTTGAAAACATTCATAATTGCGATCTGGCCCATGATAAAAAGAGGTTTGACACCATTGTTCGGCGGAGTGCTGACTAGGCTTGGAAAAAAAAAAAAACAAGAAAAAACTTGGAAGCATCAGTTGGCTTACCTTGATGAGTTTACAACTGGTGTCAAAACCCAATTAAGGTTGCTTTGTATTGTCTTCCAAAAGGATTACGTAAAATCCTGGAAACAGGTGTCCACTGGCTCTCTTCTTCTTCTTTCCTGAAATGCTTTGTTTCAGCCAAATCAATCATGTCACCGAAAAAAAAAAAAAACGCCGACCCTTGTGTGAACCGTAGCGACGTGTCCATTTTTCTCTCTGGATATAAAACCGACGGATTCGTCATTTGCGTGACTGACAAGGGTGATCAACGCGAGTGATGGGGCTGCTAGTTTATGTAATCTGGCAAATCAAGCGATTTCGTCGGCGGTGCATTCAGTGCAGCCACTGATGAACAGTCCGGTACCTCTCAGGTTTTCAAAAGCATGTCAAAACCCAAAAAGTCAAGGCCTCCTTTTCCGTCACTCCAATTTCTAGCCGGCAGCCTTGCAGGGAGTCACTCGACATTTGATACCACCGCTTCGTTGCGTTGCACTTGACGTATAGTGCTGGGGTCGCTTGTTTCTGGTCAAATTCTCGCAGTTCTGAACTGAGGTCCAGCTTGGAGTTCGGTGGCTGCCGCTCGGGACCGGCCGGGTATGAAAGACTCGATGGCCATCGCGGACTTCGTCGGACTACTTTGGAGCCTTTACTTGTGCTTTTCATTAGAGACAAAGGAGAAACGCTTTGGTCCTGTGCCGCATGTGGTTCTGTTTAGAGCAGGTGAAACAATGTCGGAAAATGGATCCGTCATCCAGCGCATTCCAGAGACCAGTGAGGAATGGCGCTGGATCACAGAAGAGCTCATCTTGAGGTGAAGGAAGTTGGAACGATCCTCTCGCGGGTGTTACATTTCCAATGCGCTGTCTCGCCCTTCTTCTGAATGTTCATTTCATTTAAAGAGAGATCAGTCTTTGAGATTTGAGATTGAGCGCTCCTAGTTTTGGCCCAGGACCAGTTCCGGGAAAGCAAATCCACACCTCGATCCCATCCGACGGGCGAAAGAACTTTTGAGCGGAAACGGCAGAATAGCAATGGTGATAAACACATCAACGAAAACTTTCTTGACAACGCATGTGTCAAGTCATTTAATGCTTATTAGCACTCAGAAGTCCATCGAGCTAATCTTCCTGCTCCCGTTCTTGCGACCAATTACAAGAAAGAACAATATTCATGTCGATAATGCTGGTTTTCAAATTTTCTGCAGAGGTACCAGGTTCGATTCCAGTTCTGGTCTTCCTATGTGGAGTTTGCATGTCCTCCCCGTGCCTGCGTGGGTTTTCTCCGGGTACTCCGATTTCCTCCCACATTCCAAAAACATGCTTGGCAGGTTAACGGAGAACTCTCAATTGTCACTAGGTGTGATTGTTTAGTACGAATGGTTGTTTGTCTCTGTGTGCCCTGCGATTGGCTGGCAACCGGTTCAGGATGTCCCCTGCCTAATGCCCGAAGACAGCTGGGATAGGGTCCAGCACGCCCCTTGACCCTTGTGAGGATAAAGCAGATCAGAATATGGATGGATGGATGGATGGATAGAGTGTAACGGACCTAATTCACACTCATCATTGTGACTGATTTCATTGATTATTACCTGAAGAAAAAAATAGAGGGAAGTGAAAGCACCCTTTTTGGAAGGTCGGTAGCAAAGACCTGTCGGTAGGTAGACAGGTAGGTTGGTCAGGCATTAAGTGGGTAGGTAGGGTTGTGTCGCTAGGTATGTAAAATCAGTCAGACGGTACAATATAGGTGGGTCCATGCATCAATATTTTGATTGGCTGATGTTAATTAGCAATTACTGAGGTCCACATAATGTATATCTCTCATTCAACAATCGCATTTAGCCATCTTTTAAACTTCACCTACTTTAACCCACAGTTGTCGAGTTGTCATGCATCCTGTAACCTGATAATGTGACAAGCTGTCCACGGTAGTCGCCGCTGTCCCTGAAAGGGTTAAAAGTACGAAAGGTGCGATATTACAAGTGCAGTTCAGCTCTGATCTGGATCATCATCATCCTCCATCAAAATCTTCACAGTTTTGCACATTGGCGCCGTTGAGGCATGACCCAATGTGTAGCCGAGCCAGGTTCAGAACAATTTTGGTCTGCGAATCTTGCTTCTTCGATTTTATTGGCGCTTT